TCATATGAAGTATGTGTCCTGTATTATATTGTTCTCCTTGCAAAATAAACCCCAAACCAACACAGAGTTCATTTTTAAATGCAGTTTAATCATTGAATTTGGAAGAACAGGAAAGCAAGAAAAAGCAAAATTTAACACATGTGATAATAATAGTAACAACATATAAATAGCCTCATTAGCTAGTATTTGTCAAATAAATAGTCATCAGCAATTTCACGTTATCTAATACCTAACACAGAGAAGGAAATTCAAAATGCCCAAGAATGGAGATGGAATCTATCTTCAGATTAAAAGGGGACTAAGGTCTCAGTACTATCTGTTATCTAGAGGATTCTATGACTCTCTCCTGGAAAAGCATTATTCTGAGTAAAGACTCAGCCACTTATGTATAAAGAATATAAGTGCTGTATTTGTTTTGGTACAGTAATAGGTAACACAATATTACCATATTCCAGCCCTGTTCTATAACCCTTATATGAATTATCTCAATCATGAAAACAAACTTACTAGGCAAATAGTATTGGTGTGATTCTCAGTCTTGGCACAGAATGAATTTAAATGATTTTGCCAAAGTTCTGAAGCTGAAAAATCTCACACACACACAACTTATTAACAATGCAACTTATTACTCCCAATCTCACACAAGATCAGAGGTAAAGAGATGTTTTCAAGAGCCACATAGGACTAACTAGTTGCTTGTTCATTAGAAAAGAAAAAAAGTCAACTAGTAGAATGGAACGTGGACTGGCAGGAATATAAGCAGCAGAAAGGCATGTTCTGAGATGTGGAGGCCAAGAAGATTGAGTTCTCTGAAAGACAAAGCACCAGGTTGTTTTGACCATTGTGAGGAGCCCAGCAGAGACGGCAGAGGGAAGGAAGCTAACTACGTAGAGGAGAAAGCTGGTGGAAAGCTAGTGCAGTGCTAGGCAGGAGAGACTGCGAAGGGCAACAGTCCAGTCCTTGACCTGAGAGGACAGGATGAAAATGAGATGGCTTCAGGTGCTGCCTGTGCCCTGCTGAATACTGATGGATCTCCCTGGAGCTCATCTGTGTCACACTTGTTTTGAACCTGCTACATCAGGGTTTCCTTGCTTTCGTGAAACAGTGAAGTGTCTATGGAATGTCTGAATTTGCAAATCTAAAGTGCTTTGACTGCAAGATTCTCTCTATGTTTTTAAATCAGAGGGCATTGTTTGCCTACACATTATTTTAGCATGAGCCATTGTGATTGTACATTTTCAGGTTAACCTCATTAAATTAATCATGTGGTCAACAGCACTTTGAGAAATAATTCACAGTGCATCTAAATTTAAACAATCATGAGTATTTTCAGGCAGTGAGTATAGCAGCATCTTCCAACTCAAACCTGAGGGTGATTTTCAACAAATCAGCATCTACCTTAATATTGAAAGAAAAAAGAAAAATTTATAACTTTAATCTTATTCTGCACAGAAAGGCTAGAATTACAGTAAGCTTAAGGTCTTTTTTTCTTAAACTTTCAGTGTGAGTTTCAGAAACACATTGAGACCTGTGCTGAGAAGTTGCATGAAAGAGCAGAAACAAAGAATTTAATGAGCTGCGGCAAGTCTCTCTTTCCTATTACCAGGCCATTGTTATGATCAGGAAATACTTTATTTTGGATAACATGCATTCTTACTCCAAGTCCAGGATTTTTAAAACCAGGATGCTGAAATTTAGCACCAATCCCAGAAATTCCATTCTTTGCCAAAAGACAAGCAAGGGTTATACATATTCACAACAAAACTCCACATTTGGGACACAAGACATATGTTATATAAGAATAACAAAAGGCATGCTATGTTTAGGTTAGTCATTGAGTGAAGAACAGCATAATGTAAAAATAAAAGTCATAGGTAAAACCAAGCATAACTGTGTCTTTGAAGTGAACAGGCTTAGGTAGTAACATGGCAAAAAGATATGAAATGATTTCAAATTAAGCTATATTTTTCTATTCTCAAGTACTTAGCAACATTCTATGATTGCTGGGACAGTGAACAGAAAATATATTTTGATGTGTTGACATGAAAGAAAAGAGAATACCTTGCTTATTATGATAATGAGATGCTAAATACTCTGAGTAAGAAGTTGAGGCTCTGTTAAACTGGATTTACTGGGCTGGGGATATAGCTCAGTGGCATAAACGCTTGCCCAGCAAGCTCAAGGTCATGAGTTTGATTCCCAGTACCAGCAAAAATAAATAAATAAAACTGGACTTACTGTATTACTACATTGTAAGAAAGAAAAACATGTGTTCACTCTAACTAAGAGAAGAGATTTGAGTCTGATGTTGCCCAACTGCTTATTAAGTGTCTGAAGACCTACTCATGATCCAAGGAAAGTGCTTTTTCACTTGCCAGTAATGATGGTGCTGAATTTATATAGGCTCTTTCTTGTGATGAGATGGCTAGACTTCCATGAAGTCTCAGTTACCAAAAAGTGATCCAGTTCTGGTTCCACTGCTTCTTAGTGATGGAGACAGGATGTTTTTGTGTGTCCTAAATCAGAAGTGTCTCCTTTCTTGTCAGTATCTGACATGTAAAAGGAAGATTTCAGAGAGAAAACAAATATAAGATGGAACTGCACTGGGGCTGACAGTGTCAGCAGCTGGTAAACAATGAAAACCATCCCTGTGGAGGGGTAGGTGAAGGGTAAGACGGCCAACACTACGCCTCTGGAACAGAGGAAAGTTTGACCTCCCACTGACTCTGTAAGCTGTTCCTACAACCTTGCTGAAGATTCCCTTACCCCCTGTGCTTACATGGAAATCAGGCTACACCCGAAAATACCACTCACGTAACTGGCCAAGTACTCTTGGGTAACATCACAAGGGGCTAGAAGGCCATCACAGATAACATAGGGGTGACAGTTTTAAGGGGTGCTCAAGCACTTCACCTCCAGCTATCATTTTTCCCTCTTATTTTCTAACATTGCCTTTTTGTTTCCATACTTCTTTCTTTGATTTTATATCCTCCTGCTTCAAAGTAGATAAACAGTTCAACTCCTACTCCCAAAGAAAGTAAAAGTTAATCAGATTGCAGGCAAATACACAAGATTATGCACATTGATACAGATCCTTTTATTCTTTCTTTGTGCTTCAAGGGTC